CTCCCATTGTCTGTGTGAACCACCAATGAAAGGGCAAGCTGCCGGAAACTAGTGTAAATACCAAACAGATGAGGGGAAACACCTCCCCTGGGAGCAGGCAGGGCGATCAGCAGCCCAGCTGCTCACAGATCAGAGAAGTGCAGGCAGCTCAGCCACGTGCAATTAAATTACGTGTGAAGGACGGCAAACCTAAAAATAGCCTGACTCAGCCAGGAGGTTCCTGCTGTCAATGGTTTTCAGCTCAACTGTCAGAAGTGACTATAGCAACAGAAAAATTAACATGTGAAAAAATCTTCTAAAGTTGACAGGAAAAGTTTAGATTTAATAAAACACAGATTTTCACTTCCTGTCTCTAAATCTTTGAATTCACATAGCTCACTTATGTGGAGGTAATGAAATGGGAATTTTGGTAGAGTTTTGAGAAGACAAATACTTTTTCAGTGTTGGCTTCCAGAACTATAAGGAAATAACTGCTAACCAGTCAATTTTATTACCTCTACAATTAAAGGACCATTTAAACAAATGCATTTAATTTTTAACTGAGATGCTTTTCTCTGTATTTGTTCTGTTATAAAAATGGCCTTCAACTGTACTTGACATTTTAAGATATTATTTCCTGTCTGATGATAACATAGGCTGATATGGCATTCTCTTGAAATGAAAGGAATTTAGTGAAAATAATTAACATTAGAAAAGGGTGCAGAGCAGTAACTCCCAGGATGAGTATGTGAGGCCGAGGCCGCTCTCACGACCCTCGGGGGGCTCATGCCACGGTGGCCTGCAGACGCACCACTGGGCTCTGACAAAGCTGCTTTTGCTCAAAGAGCTCACACACCTAATCTGAGGACCAGCAGATCCAAAAATCCAGCATCTTTTGGCATGATTTGATGGAGGAATATTCGAGTAGGTTTGGGGAAGTGTGGTACTGTTCCCAGCTCTCCCGCTAACTCGCAGCGGGGCCCGAGACCAGTCGCTACTCAGCTCTCTGGTCATGGGCTGGCTGAGTTTCCCAGGCTCGTCCACCAGAAGGGACAGTTAAGAGTTAAGGGGAAAGAGGGGAGGATTTGTGCTGAAAACCCAACCTGTGCTGGGCTTTAAAAACATACCAGTCTTGGCAACCAACTGGCAAGAGATTGATCTTTGTATCTCCATTTTATATATGTGGACGCGATCATAAGCACGCTGATCTCACAGGTGACGGAGCCTGGTTTCAACCCTGTGTCTGTCTGATGCCCACGAGGCTGTCTCTCCTTCTCAGGTACCACTGTAGCCGCTCTTACAGCTGACTCTTGCCTGCAGTGTAAAGACTGACCCCCAGGTCCTAGTTACACGCACTTAAGGCATCTACAGATTTTCCAAGCATAGAAGACTAGGTCCCTTAGAAAGTCCCTCTATAATCTTCCTTTCACTCAGGCCATCACTGTTAATGGTTACTTTCACATCAAATATATTCTATTGTGCCACCTGCTGTTTTCACTTCATAATATATTTTGAACATCTCCTTATGTTAATAAATATTTTAATCTTTATAAAGATTGCATTACTATATTATAATCAATCACGTAGTCATGGATTTTTCACTTGTGCCTATTTTTGAACTACTTTAATAATCAGGAAAAACAGAAAAGGTCATATGGAAAAAATACTAGGGTATTAAAGTCATTTTTAAAGGATATAATTTAAAAAGTAGATCAAGAGCTTCACCTCAATTAATCTTTGTGTTTTCCTCAAATTTTTGCTTACAGTCAAAACTGCCTACAACCCGGGAACACCCTTTAGTAAACCAGCGTTATATATGCAGATGAAATAAAATGCATCTGCAGCCCCCGGGGCCACGAATTCTCTGTAGCAACCCTCAACCCTACTGTAAAAATGCAGTCGTGCTATCTGTATGGCAAAAAGAAGTCGACAGCCATGGGAAGGGATTCTGGCTGAAAGTGAAACATATACACAAAAACAAATCTAGTTTTGTGGTGAGCTGAAAATTCACAGCTGGGTATGGGCTTTTCTTTAATTAAAGTGCTTCCCTCTCCCATGCATTGAGAAAATGCTCTTCTGGTGCTGACTGAAAGAACAAAAATCAGAGCAAAAGCTGTTTGAAAATTCTGAGGCTTAAGTAAAGTTGCTTTAAAAGCTGCTATGTGGCCCCAACAACTTGGAAATATCCTACTCTAGGATTTTGCTAGAGTTCCAGTACATCTTTTCAGTCACTTCTTTGTTCTCCTACTTTGGTCAAAACCCAAAAATCAAGTAACACGAAGGTCACCCATTTAGCTGGAGAAGGAAAAAATACACACACGTGCATGTGCACACACACACGCCCACACTTACTTTAAAATTAAAATTATACTTAAATAATTAACTAAAACTAGTTATGTAATACATAGCAGTTATTTATACATAAACTACCTCTTTGTTACTTCTTTTTGAAGCATTTTAGTTTTTTATTGCAGTATAGTTGCTTCACACGGCTGTGTTAGTTTCTGCTGCGCAGCAAAGCGCATCAGCCATACGTATACACGCATCCCCTCTTTTATTTGGATTCCCTTCCCATTTAGGTCACCACAGCACACTGAGCAGAGTTCCCTGCGCTGTACAGCAGGTTCTCATTAGTTATCTATTTTATACATCGGAGTGTATATATGTCAACCCTAATCTCCCAATTCATCCCACCCCCTTCTTTTTGATGCATTTTAAACTGTGATGCTATAAGATTCATGTAAAATCAATTCTATATGAATTTTAAAAAGTGATCATAAAGAAACATATAAATAGAGCTTTGAAGGGGGTGGAAGCAGGTGTGACGGGGAACGTCTCTTTCTGTGATTACAGATACTACCCTTTTGATCACCTACCGCGGTTTGTCCCGCAGCTTCCCCCTCCTGAGCCCTTTCTCTGGAGGAGGGGTCAAGAGAGCAGAAAGAAGGCGGAGGATAGAACAGGGCCCAGCGAGCGGGAGGCCGCGCGACACTTGGTTCAAGCACCTCTCTAAAGCCATAAGAGAGCGTGTATTACTGGCTCCAGGCCAGTATGTTTTAGGCTACATCCAGACGACAGCCGTGTTGGCCACATGTCATGGACTCAGGACCCAGCAGGCTCGGTGACTGATAGAATCTGAGGTATAAAGTCTATCTTCATCCCTCTTGAGTCTTTTCATTCTTCTAAAAAAGAGGAAGGACGACTGAATTTTGGAGGCAAGTGAGGATTGTGTTCCTGATTCATTATTGAGACCAACTTGCCAGCGCCAAGTCAAGTACAGGAACTTAATTATCTGGGTAATTTTGGCACCAGGAATTCACTTTGCCTTTGTCTCCATTACTCGGCTAATTCAAATGATTAGATTTTGCCTGGGCTGTCACTGTTATTCCTACATAAAGTGTTTGTCTATAATAAGCTTCATGTTCTACAAACAACTGCTCCCTGGGTCTAGGAAAACCAAGGACTGAGCTTCAGGGCTGTCTTATACTTACAACAGTTATTTAAACACTCCTTTAAAGGGTGAAAAGTAGGAATTTATACCATATGCTTGTCCATGTGTGAAAGGTTACATAAGATTCTTCATTTTAACATCATTTGTAATGTTAAAAGATTGGCAACGTCTTAGATGCTCATTAGTCTGGGGTTAAGTGAATTGATACAGCCATATAATGAGATTCAATGCAGGTGTAAGAAAGCATGAGGCCACTCTCTGTATTCATATAGAAATGCTCTCCATAATATAGTGTTCAACGAGAAATCAAAGTGCAGAGCAGTGTGAGGATTATGCTCTACTTGCACTCTGAAAGGGTAAGTGCAGGGTTATACTGGTTTGTACAAACATAGTTTATTTCTGAAGGATAAACACGAAACTGATAAAACATGGCTGTTTTCAATTGTCAAAAATAGGATTGAGCTGTGAAATATACATGATTTTCATCTGTTTTGTTCACTAGTATTTCTCCAGTGTCTAGAAAAGGGCCTGGCATGTTGCAGGCGCTCAATATTTGTGGAATAAAGTGAAGAAAAACATAAAGTCTATCTTCAGCGAAGGCCCCACAGATGGGCCACTCTCATGGCCCCTGCCAGTGGGAAGAGGCCTTGGTAGGTTCTCTTTGGTTTCCCCTCATAGGTGGGGTACGTCCTGATTTCTCACAGTGCTTGGTATTGCCACTTCTCCACACTCACCAGGCAGCATACTGGCCACTTCCATGAGATTACATGTCCTGTTTTCCTAATTTGCTCCCAAACTACAGATACTAGACACTGGAGAATGGAGAGGGAAAGGATGTCCATAAGTGGGCTGAAAATAACCACAGTATGGATTATAAAAGTTCTGCAAGCAGAATGGAGTTCCTGAAGCAATACACAGGTGGTCCAGCAGAGGCCTCTTCTAATATAAAGTACAGAACTTTCACAAATGTAGAGAATAAGGCCTGAAGACTCTCTCATGTGACATATGGGCAACTCACACATAAACTCAACTTCAGACTAAGACTTCTTCTTCTTTTTTTTTTTAAAGACATTTCTTAAAGTATAGACACAGTCAGAAGTAAGAAAAGGTCAGGGTCTGGACATGCATTTTGGGCAGGTGGTTAAAAACATATACTTAAAAAAATAACGAAAGCACTGTCAAAATAATCATCACATGAGTGATGATAGGCAGGTTAGCACAAGAGTAGAGCTGACCATCTGATCTTGAAAGTTCAATATTTCATTTTGGTTTGGGGCAGGGAGATATTTACAAAGGGCAGTGTAGCCGTTAAGAGCTGAAATCTAGAGTCAGACTGCTTGATTTTGAATTTCTCCTCTACTCACTGGGGTTATAATTTGGGGAAACTGTATTAATCTCCGTGCATCAGTTTCCTCATGTGCACAAGGTGGATAGTAACCGTACACCTACTGCAGCTCTGCTGTGTGGGTTACATGAGATAATTCACGTAAAGCGCTCAACACAGGCCCTCGCGGCTGGGCTATGACTGTCGCGACTGTCAGTGTGCCCAGGGCCAAAGTACTTCACTCACCAAGATGAGTGTCCATCACCTTTGCACAGTATTTGCACATGGCATCCAGGTCATTCAACTGTCCTTGAAGGAGGGAAATCTGGGCTTCTAATTCTTCTTCCTAAAATGAAGGGAGCAAAGATATGAAAATGAAAAAAAAAAAAATCAAAGAAAGTCCCCAAAGTCCTCCAAATGATCTGAATTGTTAAAGAGCCACAGTGTCTTTTCAGCCCTAGACAGAACAAAAGAAAGCAACAAATAAACAACAGCAAACCCACTACTGCCACCACCACCAAACCAGAGTAAGGGTAAAGTGGAGGTTTAAAAAAATCTGGACTTGGGCTTCCCTGGTGGCGCAGTGGTTGAGAGTCCACCTACCGATGCAGGGGACCCGGGTTCGTGCCCCGGTCCGGGAAGATCCCACATGCCGCGGAGCGGCTGGGCCCATGAGCCATGGCCGCTGAGCCTGCGCGTCCGGAGCCTGTGCTCCACGATGGGAGAGGCCACAGCGGTGAGAGGCCCGCGTACCGCAAAAAAAAAGAAAAAAAAAAAAAAATCTGGACTTCTCTTAATTGAATGCTAGCTTTGCGCCACGTGTCAATGTTTACCCATACAACCTTGTATTACAGAAGTACATAAAATATCTTCAGTAACTATGGAGGCACACCAATTGAGAGAGTAAATGGGATTTCAGTGGACCCTACTCCTTAGGCAGCTGGTACAAGACCATTACATTTTCTCACACACATTTGGGAAACCAAAGATTTCCATTTGTTTCAGACAAATCTCATCATTTTCTAGACAATGATAATCTCTTAAAACGTGAGATTTCCCAAAGCACTTGGAAAAGTTCTGTCCCCACAGCCCATAATTAGCTGCTCTTAACGTTTCCTCTCTTGGTAGGATACTAGAGGATTGTATTTATTTATTTGACAGTCAAATAATACTCTGGGTGGGATACTTATCTAAATGGTAAAAGACAATCTAACTGTAACAAAAGGATGCAACGTGGGTTTTGGGTTTTTTTTTTTTTAAGAAAAAAAGGAATACATGCAAAAAAGTTCCCAAGGAAATTTCGAAGATTAAGGGAGTTTTTCTCAGAGAAAGAGTAATCCTCAAAGCTGGAGGAGGCTAGCAAATTGATTTTCGAGTGTTAGACACTTTTCTTTTCACATTAAGAATCCTCTGTGTCATCAAAAAAAAAGGGAAGAGAAACCTCCCAAGAGATACTTTTTCTTAGAGACTGAATATAATTTGACACATAGATGGAAATTAACAGTTGAAAAGGTTACTTGTAGGTGTACCCCATTTAAGCAATACACATAGGCAGCACTGAAAAGCACTGTCTTTAACGGCTGCCTGGAGGCTGAGCCCTTAGGAATATGCATTTAAATGCCTGACGCAGAAAACAGACACAGCCATAGCTCTAAAAACAAATTACTGTGAAATGCCCACTGTAGGATTACACAAGCATGAACCATGTACTTTATACATCCCACAAGGCGAAGCAGCCTCTCTCCTGATGCTCAAGTAAAGACAAATGCAACCAGGAGAAGCTCAGACAGGGAATGATTACTGGGGCCTTGGGTAGGTGGTTTCAGGGCATTCTTCTTCTCCTTTTTCTCCTTTGTGTCTGCACAAACTTGAGTTTCCCCATTCTATCAGGACCCTACAGGAATCACAGAAAGAAGGCTACATCTGTGGGTTAACCCTGGCTGTGGTTCGTCTCCAAAGATGGCCACCATCCATTCCTTCCCTCCCTCGATGGACATGCTGTTCCACTCGTCAAGAGGTAGTGTCTATTTCTCCTCCCCTCGAATCCTGGCTGGCCTGCCACTTGCCTCGATCCAGAGGATGCTCCAGCTGGGGGCTAGTGGAAGAGGCCTGCCAACTTCTGCTTTCTTCTGCTTGCACTAGAGGAAGAGGGCTACCATAGTTGTCAAGAAGCTCAGGCTAGGATACTGAAAGGGAGGAGAGACAAAATGGAGAGAAAGAGGCCACAGGAGAAGCAGTGAGGTTCTAGACACGTGAATGGCGTCTTCCTGGACCCTTCAGCTCCATCTGTCTGAAGCCAGCCAAATGAGTAACCCAGTCAGCATCGCGTGGAACGGAAGAGCGGCCTAACCCAGCCTTGTCCAGATGCCTGACCGGTAAACCTATGAGAAGTAACAATGCCGTTTTGAGGAGCGGGGTTTGGGGGTGGTTTCTGTTACGTAGCCACAGATAACTGACATGGGGGTGGAATGGGAAGAACACTAGAGTGGTATATGGCACGAGGAAATCTGACTTCTATTCCTGGTCCTGCCATTAACAAGTCATGTCAACTTCAGTAACCCTCTACCCAGTCTGGGCCTAACTCTGGCACCCTCTGGAGAAGGCAGAAGTTAGATATTTTGCTCCCAAGGAGTTTACAAGCTTGGACTTGGAATAGGAAAGGTATATTAACTAGAGGATGAGGGAGAGTACATGAAAGTCTTACAAAGAAATAAGAATAACTGCCCTGGGAATCCTGATCCCAGCCTCCTGTCCCTCCTATGGAACAAGTCACCTTTTCAATGTGTCACAGATACAAACCCAACTGGAAGAGTCTCAAACTGTACTGAGGCCAGCTCGTGGAAGTCTTTCGAAAGAAGGGGACCCAGGCATGGCCAGAGTCTGTCCTTGCACTCGGCTACAATTTGGGGTGCTGAGAGCCCGGAATGGACTAAAGGACACCAGGAACGTACCACCTCCTGGCTTAAAAACCTCTTGTCTATTTACTCTATGTATTAGTTTAGTTTGGATTAAGTCATCACTTCTTATAAGATGCAAAAGCCCTTGGAAGCCTTAATCCCCAGCAGTCATTCCTACCTCGACGGATTTATTGTATTCAGTTTGTTTTCTTTTTAAAAGCTGGGAGGGAACAAGAGCTGGAGGGGACGCAGGCCTTGCCTGTGGGTGGTGAGGCACTGACAGCTGGAGGGAAGTACGGAGCTCAAGGGGGTCTCTTCCTCCAAACGCGTTACCCGTGCTGGTAGGAACATGACTGTAAGGAAAATGGGCTGAGGCTGGCGCCCTCTGAACTGTGCAGTGCACAACCTGAACAAGCGCACGGGGCAGACCCGAGAGCACGGCAGCAGAAGCGTGTGCTGGCTGAGCACACGGGGATATAAGACACAGTCTTCCAGGCGTGCACTTTTGCGTAGGACACTGATGGCAAGTGAAGAGCATCTTGCTTGCCAAAATCCTGAGTCAACCTCAATACAAATGGAATCTGCTCTGTAGAAAATGGCAGTTTTCATTAATTTAAACCTTTTTTTTTTTTTCCAAAGGAAAGCTGGCACTAAAGCCCAATTATGAGATAAGAGGAGCATTCTGGTTGAAACAGGTTGAGGGGCGCAAGAACCTCTTCCATTTGAAAGTTTGAAATTCAGTGTGTGATCTCTCTAGAGTTTGCTTAATCTTAAAATATTCCTAAGCCCTTCAACAATCACTCAGACTTTATAAATAGAAATGGCATCACTTGGAGGCAAAAGGGTGGCTTGTCATTTATTCTTCACTCTTTCATATAATTACAGATAAAAGAAGAGCCGAGAATCAAGCTTCTAAAATTGTGAGAACTGACTTTCCATTTCTATCTTAGCTTCTCAGGCTCCACAAGCCTCCCGACTAACATGCTTCAGACACTGACAGCTTTAGTCCATTGTTTTCATTAATGGTCTGTAATCAAAAACAGATGCTTGGCTAATTGCCTTGAGGTTTTACAAAAACAACCGGTTAGTGTCATTTTTATGTATAAATAAGACATGAAGAGAAACGCGTACTATATTTGCTTTCACATACGTGTGCTGTTACAGGAGGGAGGATGGTGAAACAGGGCAGAATTCAGGGGAAGACACACCTGGGTTTGAATCCTCTTTCTACCAGTTACTGGCTGTGTAATCTTGAGCAGTTGCTTAATTTCTTGGTCCCCTCAGCCCCACTTGGCAGTATTGGTGGGAGGACCAAATGATAACACATGGAGAGTGTCTGGCAAAGAACAGGTACTCCATAAAGGCAATTATTCTTTTTTTAAACATTTTTTTATCAGGTCAAAACAATAAAATGGATTTTAAATACAGAGGTCTATGATTCACTCTTGGTTTAAAACTTGTATGTGGTCCAGCCCAGAAAGATGAATTAGGGCTTGGGAGCCCATTATTGTCTTAAGTTCTGGATAATGAACTGATGTGTAAGGCAAGAAACGGATGGAGGATTATGAAGTAGGGTGGTGTGCAGACCACGTGTGCAACACACAGCACCAGGTGGACCTGGCGGCCCTGCAGAGAAGGACCAAGGATGAGGGCCGTCCCATCAGAAGAAGAAAACAGCCGTCATCTAGCCCTTTTACAGTGGTTAGAATATGCCTGACCCTGTGCTTCACGTGCATGAACTCATTTAATCCTCACAATAAACCTATGAGGTAGACCCTCTCATCATGTCCTACATGAAACGTGGTCTCCTCTGTAAGCCACGTTCTCTGGAAGTGATGCCAAGGTTGACAAAGCTGTTTCAGAACCCAAGTCACTTAGCCCACTACTCCTATTTCCCCATGTGTATATATTCTTTCTTATGCTTGATTACTACTAGGACTTACAAGGAATAACCTCGTATCTCAAGTTTCCTTTAAGAGAAATTCACTATTTCCAATGTTAAGTCCTAACCCCAAATGGCTTACTAAATTATTTTCCTTCAAAAACACTCAGGTATGATTGGCTGTGTTCCATTTAGTTTGCGGAATGATTTCTGCTTGGACTGTATCTGGAGACATGTGTTTTGAATTTGCTTTTTAAAAAGTGGTGCTTCTACCACCATTCACCCCCAGATAGCTGATGCATCATTACACTTTCACTCACATATTATATGTCTCAAGTGTTTAAATTGTTTTATAATATATGGATTATATATATCAATTTTGTTAAATGCTTCAACATCTTTGTGTTCTTTCTGGGTTAATAACAGGATGGGATTTTGCAGTTTATGGTTTATTCATTAATTTTTTCAACAAATATATTCATTTGTATTGCGCTGTCCCTTGTGGGAAATATAATAACAAATGAGACACGTATTCCAACCTCTGCAAATTTAGCAGGAGGTCAGACC